GAGCCCTGCCCCGCGGGCTGCTCCGGGCTGGTGCGGTGCTGAGACCCCGAGAGCTGTGGAGCTGCACGGTCCCACCAGAGGAGCTAAGACTCACCACTACGACCGCTCAGACCCTGCAGCCACACCCTGCTCGACAGCATCTCGGGGCACGTCTGCCCATGCAGGGACCCCCCGCCAGCCGGCGGGCCCTGGGCTGCCCGTTTTTAGCAAAAGAAAGACAAAACAAGGAGCGAGGAGCATTGGGTGACAGCGATTTCACCTCTTGTAGCAGGACCCAACGAACCAAGGGAAGTTTGCAGTGCTAGCAAAGGGCTCAGGGTGTGGAGCCATCTCCTAATAACTATAATAGTACCTAGAAGGGTTGGACCAGATGATCCCTGAGGTCCCTTCCAACCTGGCATTCTACGAGTCTATGAAATAACCCATTGGCTATGGATAGTTCAGCCTGTCTCCACTTTTATTAGAAGTTAGCCTCACTAAACCATTGACTTAACTGAGAATCATTATAAATCCCCATTTTGAATTTTTTTATTAGCAGTATTTATCACCTTCTCAAAATCAATCCTATATTTTTAAATTAAAACAAATGACTACTTGTACTGCAATCAATATTAGTACATTTCCCTTTTTTAAAAGGAGAAAAAATGGAATACAAAGAAATGTCCTTCTTCGCCTGCATCAATCCAATTTCAATATAATTCAATATTTAATAAATATAATCCTCCATGTCTGTGCAGGGAAACATCATAAAAAATGCAAAAGGTTTCCTGGTCTCCAATAACTTGCATGAAACAAAGTGTTTCCTTATTCCTTCCATAATAATGCAGTCTCATGCTACCGGGTTTTTCTTCATGTGTATTAGAGTTTGCCCTGATTACGTATAAGGAAGGAGGCTTACATATTTCATGATTAAAAATCCAAAATGCTACCTACCAGCTCCAAAAAATTACCATCTTTATCTCTTTGTACTTCTTTGGCTTGTTGTTTTTGAAAGGGCAAAAAAAGAAAAACCTTATATAATACCTAATTTGTACATCTGTGGTTTCCCTCTGACTTGTGTAGGCACCATATGTTTTTAATTATCATAATAGCCTTAAAGAACCTGTTCAGTGGGAAACACATATGATCCTTTTATTACTGGTTTGCAATTTAAACAGTTTTAACAGAAAAGGTCTGGCTATAAGGGACCAAGAGGCACAAAGGTCTAAAAACCCTGTTATTGACCTCTGAAAGCATGAGTTCAGATCCCACCCACTGAGGTGGGACCTGGCTCTCCCGCCTCTGACAGAGGTAATCAGTCGCATGTGAAACAGCTCTTGGGGACCTTAAAAGACATAATCTCCAATCTCAAATGACTCCACGTTGCAGTTAGCAGCTGACACAATGAAACCAGGGTCTATAATCATTATCACGCACCCGATCTGCGCTTTCTTCTCCCTGGTAAAAACTGGCAGAGTGATGGTGCTGTAGGAGAAGCCCTATGAACGCCAGAAGCCCAGAATTCCAGCAATTCTCATTAGTTGTTGCCCTTTCAAATTCCTGGTTTTGTCCTTTATGCAAATGCAAGACTGGTGAGCACGCCAGTCTCCCAGCCACGGGAAACAGTCAGATATTCAGAGGTAGGAATTAAATTTAACAAGTTCAATTCACTCCTGATTCTGGACATCTAAACACATAATCAGTCTGATAATGTTATTAATTATCATTCAAGCAACAACCTTTGACACTGGCATGCTCCCACAACCTCCCTACTCCAATAACTCAAACAGAAAATCGTTGGCATGAAAACCCACAGTCTTATGAACAGAAATTGCAAATAAGCAGGCACTGAACATACAACTGGGAGTGAGCAAAATCCCCCTTTTCAGAGAGAAAGCAGAGGCTCACACAATAGTTCAGTCACTTGACCCAAAATGAAATTCTGCACAACTTCCTCCCAAAACAGATAATTTACACCCCAAACAAAGAGCTGTGGGGAGAAGAGGGTGGGGAAGGGAGTCCAGCTAAAATTACACCGAGCCTGGAAGTCGTTACGGCTCCATCTCGGGAGATGGATGGTGTCCTCATTAGAACGAAGCTTTATTTAGACAGACAGACAGAATCCTTATTAGAACATTAGGCTGAAAAGTTTAAATGTCAGGAAATACAAAATTAAGATTTTGCAAATAAATGCTGACTTGGAAGAAAAAACTTTGAGCTCCCTGTACAGATCCCACTGGAGACACTTAGGGAAAATGGAATCACTCAGAAGTGGCAATCTCCCCCACCAATCTAACCCTTCAAGGGTATTCTTGGAAAACTCCATTTCACAAAAGCCAAAGGACATCCATCTTCTTGGGCAGAGTGGTTTCCACTCATGATCGGATGCTATCAGCTCCATACCAGGCAGCACACTAAGCCCAGATGGAATGGAGGACTCGGGAGCTGCCACCTCCCACCACCCAGTTTGAGGGAGACCCTGCCCAGAGGAGGACATGCTGATGTTGGAAACCCATTTCCAGCTGCACGGACACCAAAAACCGTGAATCAGCTATTCTCTCTGTCTCACTCCTCATTCCCAGGCCCTCTGCTTTCTCCAGGGAAACTCAGGCATTTTGCAGTGATGGAAAGACAGCTTAATTATCTTGCATACAAAAAAGATGGTCATTGTTTTCCATTTTACCTGAAAGCTAATGGATCTTGGGATACCAGACGTGGATGCTCAGAATCCCCTCTGGAGCTTTTCTGGTGATTTGTCGTCTCTGGGTTGCCTTTGGTGCACACCAGTCTCTGCCGAGGTAATATGTGAGCTGTTGCACACTAAAAGCAGATGTTTGAGAGAGGAACGCATGCACATACACATGCACCCACACCCACCCAAGCACCCTCCACCCCCTTGTCCTGCACCTTGCTTGCAGGTCCTGCTCACAAGCGCAGTGCCCTGAGGAGGAACTGCTCATCTCACAGGCTTTGGTGGTTCGGGCAGAAAGGCAAGACAGGATTTGGTCCTGAGAAAGGCACAGCACTGCAGAGCTCTGCATGGCGTGGTCCTTGACCTCTCATCACAGGGTCATAGGAGAGCGCTGTGGGTGCTGCTGCCCCCTGTGCTTTGTTGAGACAGACCCAGACAGCTGGTGAGATGGACATGCTGATGGAGGCAGCCATCTCCCCTGGCCTCACCAGAGCCCCCTGTTCCTCCTGGGTGCAGCGGTTCTCACGTGGTACTGGGTCACCCTCCTGCATATCACGGGCTTGTCCCCTTTGCCAGGCTCTAGGCCTCCACATTGAACTTCCTACTTGGTCTGGAAGGGGATGCTTATGGAAACAAAGTTTCTGCTGGGATTAAACACTTTTATTATTATTTTTTTTTAATTTTGCATTTGATCTTCTAAATAAACAAATATTTTTCCTCTATATTTTTTGTTTGGTTTGGTTTTTTTGTGTAGAAATCCAGTGAAAAATCTAGTTTTCCTTTCCCACAGCTTCACCCACAAAATCATCAGGATGAAGTTTTCTGGTGAAACAGAAGTGCTCAGTGTTTAACTTGCAGCATGGGGAGGATGGCAGGGAACACCACGTGTGGCACTCACACAACCAGAGGATGATTACTGAGCAGACAAGCCCTACTCTGGCACAGAGTGCTTGTGTACCTCTCACACCACCTTCTAAGCAATGGACTCTGTCAACTACCAGCAGAGGAGGGAGCACTGACATACCCCACCAGAACGTGTCTCCTTGCCTTTGGAAAAACACACAGGATCCATTCATCTGTTGAATTCATGTCCACCACCACCAAGTAAAGCCAGCCGAGGGACCCTTCATGCTACAGGTTCAAGAAAAGTGCTTCCACCTTGTCCTCTTCTTCTCCAGTACACGTACAAACACAATTCTACCTTAAGAGAAATCCCAGTTCTGAGCCCAAGAAAACTCTTTCTGTTTAAGGATCCTCCTTTCATGGTAAGGATCCTCCGAATTTCCAAAAAGTGGATAACAACAATACCACTGTGATCCCATCTGTACACAGCAATGGCACTGTAATGCGTAGAGCATAAACCACCAAATTCCCACAGACAGCATCTGTCTTACTACAAACAATGGACCATTATCTTGTAAATAATTCTGATTAAGCTGCAGCATTTTCCCCAAACAAACAGTAGGGGAGCAGAGGGTGAGGATTTTTCTAGTGGGAGTGCTGGTTTTCTCCTTCCCCAGCACTGACACTCAGTGTTTTATTCAACTGATCGGCCCCCTCCCCTCCCTGCTCTGTCCCCCATGGCTTGGTTTTCATCTTCTGACCTTATCCAGCTGTCAATCATTTTGGCAACTAAAGAGGGAGCTGTCACATTAATGGGATTCCCACCTCTATCCTTTGGGAAAGCTTTTCTGATTTGTTTTTCTTCTGTTTCACCCCAACATACAGTTACGTAACGATTAGTGAATACACCCATAAACCTGTTCTTAAGCCAGTTCTCATGTCAGTGGTCAGAATAACCAGCCCCATGGCTGGGAGCACGTTGGTGCTGGTCAGAGGTCGGGCTTGTCTGGCTCTGCCAATGATGCCTCTTGGTGCATTTGGCATCTGGGTGAACATGCCATGGGAGCTGACTTTGCTGGGGCAAAGCTGTCACCCTCTTCAAACTCTCGGTAGGGAGAGCAGAGCTCTCAGCTGCCTGTGTGGGGAGCGGGGCTGGGGGCTGGCCAGCCCCTGCTAGGGGGTACCTGACCCGCAGAGCAGCGCGCTGCGCTCCTCTGCACCCCAACTGGCAGGCCGACCCGGCTGCGGGTTTGCCAGGAACATTTGAAAGGGTTTAAAAGAAAATCAAGTGCACAGACTGGAACAGGGTTAGCTGTGCAAAGGGACAAGTGAAACAGGACACAATTAGGGCTAACATGGTCTAACAAACGAATCTACGTGGCAGCTGTGAACTGAGGAGAGCTCCCAAGAAATCCTGAATTTTGCCTTTAACCTCTTCATTTCAATGCACAAACCTTTTCTTATACATCTCTCTTGATAAATGTCACATCTCTATATGGCTGAAGCGTTGGTTTCCCTTCCCTGCATGCTCTTAACTTGCCTCATTACACATGTGAGCTGTTCAGGATCAAATGTGCTTCCTGGCTTGAACAAAAAAAAAATAAATAAAAATGAGTAAAGCAGCAAGGGCTAATCTAGAATGGTAATGTTGCAAAGCAGGCAGTAAAAATTTTAACTTACAAGTATCGAATTGAAATCACTGCCATTCAATTAAAAACCACACAACAGCCAGTTCAGCCACCAGATCAGCAGGCGTGAGCAGGAGCACCGGAACCTGCCGAGCACTGTGGAGACCAAACACGGAGCATCCCACTGATGCTGAAAAGGAGAGGTCAAACGGTGGCAGACAGCGGGCCAGGTCCTCTGTCCTGACAAGGGTCTGCTCACACAAGACAGGAGGACCCACAGTCTGGTGGTGGGCAGGCAGCCAAGCAACCCAGCAGACACATTGCTGAGCCATTGCCTGCCTCGACCTCAGTGCTGCGCAGCTCCACGAGATGGCTGGGGCTGGGGTGCTGCAGCCGTGGTCAGAAACTGGTGGCTTAACCCAGCTGGCATTCCAAAGAGCCTGAAGGTCAAAACTCATGGATTTGGTGGATGGACATCATAGCCAAAATATGGCAAAACTCCTGCAGGTGCAGATAGTCCCAAGCACCAGCTGTGTGGCGCAGGCAGGGGCTGAGGCTGAAGGTAGGTTTCGGCACCAGGTTTGCTGCTCAGGAGGTCAGGCTCCCGGATGCTGCAGGGACACTGAAGGGATATTCACACCCAACACATATTTTCAATGTGTGTTTATTTTCGTCAAGAAATTTTTATAGCCTACTGTAGTTATATCAGAGAAGGAGGCATTTATGCACTGAGGACTTACATAACGTTCTTCATCTTCAAAGTGCTTTACAAACATTTATTAATTCTTTTATCCTCACAGCACTCCTACCAGGGAGATAAGTACTATTGTTTTCTGTTTCACAGTGGAGGATCCAAAGCAGAAAACTTATTTTTTTCCATGGTCAGTGAATGAATAACAGGTAGACCTGCAGGAGGAGCAACGGCTGCCGGCTTCTGAACGTGAGGCCCCCACCTCAAATCTGATTTAAAAGACTTGTGTTCTGCCAGAGTTATGACACGTATTGGGATATGCTTGGGTTTTTCCTTCAGTAAGAGATAATTAAGGAACAATTCCCTCTCTGATCCCCAGCATGGCATGCTATTTTCTACCCCACAGTTGCTCTGTGAGCTGAACAATGGCTGTTCTATGCAGGGAATGGCGCTACAGACGCCCCGGATCAGAGATCGGCTTAAAGAAACTCGCTGGCCTGCGTCTCGCTCCACGGACAATGGGGCAGGGCAGGCAGCTTTGGGTCCAACTGCCTGGCATGGGGTTGCTTCAGGAACACCTGTTTGTAAATGGCCATGCTCTGGACAGAGCAGCTGCTAGCCCAAGTCACTCCCATCCAGCATACCTATCTGGAAATTTCATGTAGTAGGAAAGCTGTTGTGTTTTCTGCTGTTTGCTCTCAATCCTAAGTGTATCCCTTTTCCATTTGTGTGGGAGGGATGCACAGTGCTCCTCGTTCACCCCCGTGGTGCTGCTGTAAATAAACCTCTTTCCTGTCTGCTCCTTGCCAGCAAATGTGTGGCTGCTTCAACTGGCAATAACAATTACTATGATCTTGAAAGACTCCACTTCAAGGTATCTCAAAAAGGAAAATTGTGACCGGGTCTTCTAAGGAAGTGTTGGGAGATCTTAAATCCATACTGGGGAAGATATACTGGGAAAAATTTTATAACTTCCAAGAAAGACATATTTCACCTGTTACAATGCTTGTTACTGAAGACCTTGCCCACCCTAGTTTTTTTCCAACTAGTTTACATTTTGAAAATAATAAAAATGGACAAACCCCCAAATCTTTTAGGTAATTTTCTAGCTCAGAAGAGATTCATTAATTAGCAAAATAAGCTGCCAAGTTCAGCCATGGCATACTGCAGAGGACACAACCACATCCTACTGGGAAAAGGCCTGTACCTAGATGTTGCTTTGGAACAACCAGAACAATTGTTTAGTGAGAAATGTTTATTGCATATGACTCATCAACCCTTGAAAACAGGATTTCTTATATAATGCAAGTGCTGACACAGCCTTCACTTGAGTGGTGTGACTGCAGCTGTATAATTACAACTTTAGATTTGATGTTATGGACCTTAGGTTACGCCATTCAGACAAATGCTCCATTGTATTACAGAGATATTTTTTCCTTAGTGATATTGCCCACAGGACAATAAAGACTATATTCACAGCTCACTGCATAGAAGTTTAGGCATGTAACAGCCAGCAGTATTACACAAGATGAGATTATACCCTATGGGGGTTAAATGGATTCATAATTGCCACTTTTTCTTGTCTTTTTTCTCTTTGCTCCTAGTTGATACTTTTTTGGAAATGCTCTCCAAATAAAAGGAAGAACAATCTCACACTGAGTCTGGATAAATGTTACAGTTGTCTCACAAATGCTGTATTATTTCTAGCCTTTCCAAAATAATATAATTGTCCTACTGCTGAACTACAGATTTTTCTCAGTATGACACAGAACACTCAAATGTCAGGTCCTGACTCATGGTGTTTTGGTGGAATAAATAAAAAGTACCAATATGCTATCCAAAACTGACAGCATTAATGAAGATGTGACACTGGGAGCCCTAGTCATGCTTTCCTTTACTTCTATTGTGTACTCAGCAGTGTGCTGAACAACAGGCC